ATGGTCTTCATTTGAAAAAACTTAGAAGCAGCATTGGAAATCATTAAAAGTAAAGAGTGTATCAAGATTCCTAGATAGAATGTATAAAATCAACAGACTTCTTTTACCCACAAAGTCACACACTGCAATTCAAAGTGCTCTGACAAGAGCAATGAAAAATTTAAAATAAGAATAGTTCATAAAAATATACAAGCTCTTCATGGACATTATTATGAAACTTAACAAATTGACATATGACCTTATTAAAGGAGTGATTGATACTTTCTGTGCATCAGTCAGAAAGTAAAACTTTCTAATAACTTTTAAACATTTCCATAGAGATCTTACCCAGCTTCTAAGCAAATAATTATGGCCTTAGGCTGATTCACACAGAACTATGCACATTAATCTTACTAGTACAGTCCCCGTGGAATTGATTCCAGGAAGCCCACAGTTAACGGGTCCATGAATGCAGAAGTCCTTGATATAAAATGGCACAGTGTTTGCCACTTCCTGTATTTTTGAAATCATATCTAGATTACTTATAATACCTAACATACTGTAAATGCTACAAAGATACTTGTATTTTATTGCTCAGGGAATAATTATGAGGAAAAAAGTCTGTACATGTTCAGTACAGATGAAATTATTTTGCTCTGAATATCTTTAATCTGTAGTTGGTTGCATCTGTGATATGGGATCCATGGATATGGAGGGTCAGCTGTGGTTGGTTTACAATCAACTAAGGTAGACAGGAATTATAAAGGGAAGTTTACTAAGGGACCTTCATGGAGGAGTTTTTTTGTCTGTAAAAGATGGACATGAGAAAGGACATTCCCCTTTCCTGTCTCTACCTACTTGGAGTTGACAGTAGCCACCTTATAACCAAATGAAATCACCTTAAAAAGAACTAAATACTCTTCAAAAAATGAGAGAAGGGAAGAATTGGGGACCCAGAGAGTATAACAGAGAGGGTGAATTTGATCAAAGGACATTGTACACATTATGGAAATATCACAGTGAAATCCCTTTGTAATATTAATTTATGATAATGCTAACAAAAAATAAAGTAGAACAAAACAAAGCACCTAAAAAAATAAAAAAGGAGAAGAACAACCACCAATACACTGAAAATGTCAGGGCAGAAGGACGTAAGGCCTCGTGAAGCCAGTAAGTCATCTATCCCTGATACAGCTGTACTGCCAGAATATTTCTTAAGTGAAGAAATAATTAATACCTTTAACATTTAAGTATTCTGAATTTGGTTTCCCTGTGAATAGCAATGAAAAAGCATTCACACTGATTCTGTGCCAAGCATAGTATAAGCTAAATGAGTGCTTATTGAAACAACTTAAAATAATCCCCATATAAAATCTAGATGTGAACAGCGAATGCTTTCAAAGGAAGTTGTAAAGTTTCTGAGGTGATTTCAGTAACATAAGGGGACAAGTGACATGGTGTTTAGAGGCTTGGCTACAACAGTATTTTCTTTTTTGCTCGTGAGGCGATGCAGCCTTTTAAGCCTCTGTTTACGTTTTTGGTGTTTGTGGCCTTACCACTTCTATCTTTCTACAGCCCTAAAACATCTTTAGCAACACTCTTTTGATGAACCTGGAAAAGTCAACCTTGGTGTTGCTTTCGGAAATCAATATGAAATTTACTTATTTTATTTTTTTTTTTACCTTTTAAAGGAAACAGACTTTTGAAATTGCTGTTCCTTGGTATTGTCCTAAATCCTCAATAAGCCCTGACAAGGAGAATGATGGAAATAAAAAATGTTTTTCCAATTAATAAAAAATGTGATTCCAAAGCTGAGTTTTGAATTTTGGTGGAGTATAAATTAAGTATTATGTGCAAATACGAACTGAAAACACTTCAAAGCGTAACATAAAAACCAACGTCAAGGTATATCAATCTACGAGCTCAAGGACTGCCAAAATTAATGGTGACTTTTTTTCCTTCTGATTTATAAGAGTTACCTTGGGACCCGTGTTTTTGTTTAAAGCAAATGCAGAACTTAATAATGTAAATAGTTCTAGGGCCCCTTCACTCTGGCAGTAAAACTCTTGTCTAAACCAGAACTGTTTCCTTTATACTTTAATGGATTAGATCTGTTTAACTTACTTTATATAGTCTCAATCCAGCTCTATTAGCATATGGAAGCTTAATGAATATTTGATGATGGTAACTATGAATGCACAGAATATATCTTAGCTGTTCACAGAAAAACAATGAAGTACTTCAAGCTATTTTACTTCAGTTGTAAAATTGCATAACAAAGTCATACAAGACTCTTTTTCAAGAAAAGAGGTTATTGTTTCAAGAAAGAATTTTTTTTAAATGTATAAATGTTAATTTACTATTTAATATGTACTGAAAATTTATGTAACATCTGCATATGCTTCCTATTTTACTTAATCTTAACCATAATCCTATGGACTAGGCATTGGGATCCCATTTTCCTGAATCTAAGATACTGCTGATTGGATGGTGAGCCGATATTTCATATACAATAAGTAAAAAAATCAGTCAATAAAATTATGATATACCATTTCTAAGATACAATCTGATTCCAGAGGTGTCAAAATGTAAAAGACCATATAATATTGATAACTAAATTTGCCTAAGTAACGTAGCAAATTAGTAATTGTCCTGCTAGACAATATACCTTGTACCTTCCTGAGTTCTGACAGATAGGATGGGAGCACAATTGAGATGTAGTTACTTCTAGACCAAAATGGTGAAGAAGCATGGGCTATTTCTGCATCTTATCTGTCATCCTATCTACCATTGAGTTGATACTGAGAATGACCCTGGAACTTCCTGCTGAGTGTGGCAGAGCCTCTTTATTCCTGAATAACTATAAGGAACAACCCTAAACCATGTGATAAACAGCGATGCCATCTTTGACTCTGCCATGAGCAACAAATGCACTTTTATTGCTAAGCCATTGTCACCTGGGGACTTGCTTGCTATAACTAGAATTACTCCAGTGGCAGAATTAGAATTTTGAATGTCAGATTCCAAAGCCTGAGAGCTCATTCTATTGCACCATGTAAACATAAAACTCCAAACTTAATCCCTTCCAAATTTAAACACATGAATAAAATAATACTGATTGCTTCATTTTAATAAAGCCTTCATCACTTGATTTGAAAGAATAGGCAGAAATCAACAGATTAAAGACTGATATATTTTAGTAAGAAAATGCAGAGAGAGAGAGAAATTTCTGTATGTGTTACAACACATATTTGAGGGAAAAAGTGAGGAAATGATTTCCAAAGTGGGTAAAAGTGACATTTATGTGTATGCACTCTTTTTGTCCTGTTTGAGTTTAATGAAGTTTGGGTTTAGGTGAGGAAGTTGCAGGCAGCTGTTAGAACCCTGGCCTTCTATTTTAATATCTCAAGATAAAGATGTCTCTGTTTCCTGGAAGAGATTGAGCAAAGGAAAGGGAGGAAGAAGCATCATGACTGGAAAAGGATGAAAAGGAATAAAAGAAGGTTCTGGATTCAAGATAAGAGTGTGAACCATGGCTCCACTACTTGCTAGATTTGGTGGTTCATAAATTGTATGACAACAGAACTTGGACCATGGTGTGATGAGAAGTAAATGAAAAAACACAAGCAAAATGCACCTATAACACCTGAGTGAGCAACACTGAATGTTAGTTGTTATTACACTTGTCAATAATTACTAGCTTCTTTTCTTACCTTACAAACAGCCATATATACTTTTATAAAAATCTCTTCTGCACAACAGAAAGTGCAACCCTTGAAATAAAATCTGCCTCCAGCTATGAAAGTAACTGAGGCATAAGAACCTGAGGAAGTTTCTGTTCACCACCAACAACAGGTGTTGGCGAGGATGCTGGGAAAAAGGAACCCTCTTACACTGTTGGTGGGAATGTAAACTAGTACAACCACTCTGGAAAAAAATTTGGAGGCTACTTAAAAAGCTAGACATTGATCTACCATTTGATCCAGAAATACCACTCTTGGGGATATACCCAAAAGACTGTGACACAGGTTACTCCAGAGGCACCTGCACACCCATGTTTATTGCAGCACTATTCACAATAGCCAAGTTATAGAAACAGCCAAGATGCCCCACCACTGACGAATGGATTAAGAAAATGTGGTATCTATACACAATGGAATTTTATGCAGCCATGGAGAAGAACAAAATGTTATCATTCGCTGGTAAATGGATGGAATTGGAGAACATCATTCTGAGTGAGGTTAGCCTGGCCCAAAAGACCAAAAATCGTATGTTCTCCCTCATATGTGGACATTAGATCAAGGGCAAACACAACAATGGGATTGGACTTTGAGCACCTGATAAAAGCGAGAGCACACAAGGGAAGGGTGAGGATAGGTAAGACACCTGAAAAATTAGCTAGCATTTGTTGCCCTCAACGCAGAGAAACTAAAGCAGATACCTTAAAAGCAACTGAGGCCAATAGGAAAAGGGGACCAGGAACTAGAGAAAAGGTGAGATCAAAAAGAATTAACCTAGAAGGTAACACACACACACACAGGAAATTAATGTGAGTCAACTCCCTGTATAGCTATCCTTATCTCAGCTAGCAAAAACCCTTGTTCCTTCCTTTATTGCTTATACTCTCTCTTCAACAAAATTAGAAATAAGGGCAAAATAGTTTCTGCTGGGTATTGAGGGGGTAGGGGGGAGAGGGAGGGGGCGGAGGGGTGGTAAGGGAGGGGGTGGGGGCAGGGGGGAGAAATGACCCAAGCCTTGTATGCACATATGAATAATAAAAGAAAAAAAAACAAAAAACGCTGTCAACATGCCTTGAGATAACACGAGCAGAAAAAAGAAAAAATGTATTTTGGGGATATGATATTTCAATATCAGTTTCACTTGATTGCTTATGTAACAACAGCATTTTTTTTCTCAGGACTAAAAAGGGCTGGGGGAATAGCTCAAGTGGTAGAGTACCTGCCTACCAAGCATGAGGCTATTAGTCTAAACCCTAGTACCACCACAAAAAAAATCCTTACCTTTTGTTTCTCATTTGTACCCTTTTTATTGGTCTCTTTTTTACTTTCATCTTCGTACACTAAAACGAAGTCAATTCTTCGCTGGCCATCATTAAAAAAGAGGGAGTCTGATTTTCCATTAAATTCTTCCTGTGTGGAATAGAAAAGCAAATTGTAATATACATTTTTAGAAAACAGTAATTTCTAAGAGTTTATTTTCTAGTTTTAATTGGATTATCAATATCTTGTTGAGAAAGAAAAATACATCTGTGACAAGTGACCTGACTAGTAGTTATGGCCACCACCATCTTTGCAAGCATTGCTTGTTTTTGGGGAGGAAGTCTTTGAGTTGAGTGACTCAGTGTTCTCTTACAAACTCATGGAAACCTGGCAGTATTATGTACATAACACAATCATCCCAGAATTATTCCTTCCTCAAAAAGCAAAGGGGTATCACATTTGGAAAAGAGCATGGTAACACGAGCTGCCTATCTGAAGGACTGAAGTTTATGTAACAAGAGGAGAAAGAAATATCAAACAAAATGCTGTTGACAAAAAATCTCATCTCTCTTATGTCTTACTTTCTATCTTTTAATCATGACTTCCCTCAAGACTGCACCACTTTATAGAGGTATAATTTTATAACAAACGGATGCTGAAAGATGTTTCATCTACACAAAAACTACACTAGTCATTGGTGTTTGTTCCCAAATCTAAAAACATTGTCCCCTTACCTATACCAAAGGGGACTGTGAGTTTCAGGCCAGCCTGGGACACACAGTGAGACACTGTCTCAAAAATATACATAATACATACATATGTACGTACAGAGATGAGAGAGAGAGAATCAAAACGAAGGAATAATGACAGACCTACTACAATATAAAACAATCTCTTTTCCCATATGGGTCTGGATAGAGTTTAATTTGCTCCAAAGACCAGTTTGTGTGCTCACATAGCCTGTCAGGATGCTTATGTTAATTTTGTTGTTGTTTAAGATCAGACTGTTTTTTAACTGGTAAGTAGTATTTTTAAAGTTCCTTTTTTTTCTCATTAGAAATTGATGGGGGAATGCATTTTGCAATCATTGATGGAATCACTTGTATTTTATGTTCATTAAATCTGATTCTCTTCTGTATTCAGTGTCGATTAGCACAAAAATCACCCAGTTTTACTACCACCACATCACTTCCTCCCTGTTGTCACACTTTTGAGAAGATGTATTTTTTGCAACACGTATGAAACTGATACTTGTTATTCCTTTCTTCTCTCCCGCCATGGAAAGTGAAGGCTTGTCACTTGTGATGGAAATGCCTCCCATTTGGAAGGTTATTCAAGCTGCAGAACACTGTTCAAGTGACCCGTCTCCACACACCTTAGCCCAGCCTCAACAGCGTGCCTCTGCCTTGAGATTTTTCCTATCCAGACTACTGAGGGTCAAGAAAAACAGACACAAGGTCTTAGGTTGAAGCCATTATCCAATTTTTGTTATTGTTACTTTATTTATTTAAAACACATAAAGCTATGTAAGAATGCTAAGCCCTAACTTCTTCATTTCAACTACTCAGAGTTCTTCAATTTCTCTTCTTTCAACAAGGATTTTACTATTGGTGACAACCAGGGCAGCTGCTAGAGAAAAACTGTGTGCAGAGGTGAAAGACAGACTAATTTTTTAAAATGGCAAAGGGAAGTGGGTCATATGTTATAGCTGTAGTCTTTGGTGGAATCCAGTAAAGTTCTCAAGAATTGGGCCTAGAGAAAGCACCACATCTGTACACGGTCCCGGGCACTCTTCCTTTACACAGCCACTGCTGTCTCTGAAATAATCCAGTCTGTACTCCTGCCTCCTGTGTGTGACACAAGATCATGGTCTTTTGTTTAGAAGAAAACCCCAATGAGTTGGCAACAGCTGCCTGTGTGAAGTAAGTAGGTCAGACTCTGATACAGTACTATTAGAATGCAATGCCAAGGACAGGCGCCAACCTTCCACTGCTGTGAAATCCAGGTTCCTCACCTCTTGGCAGAAGACATCCTGCCAAACAAGTGGGAAAAAGAGAGAAACTATCCACGGGGCAAGAAAGAATATGCAACAAACAAGGGAACTGTTCTAAATAAAAAGACTAATTTATGAACAAAAACAGATAGTTACAAAGACCAGATTTCTTAATAAATTCTACTATAGGCCTAACTCATCCATCAGAATATTAAAATGGCAGCCAACTAAAAAAATTCCTTTCCTAAAGTTTTAACTTACCTGGAGGAAGTAAAATTTTAATAGCTTCTCAAAATAAATACTGGCTACAGTCTTTAAATGACTGATGAATTCTTTGAGTCCTGGTCTCTTTGCTCTCTCTCAGTGTTTACTCAAATTTTGATCTTTAGTCTTTTCTAACAAGACAAATGGCACCATGATGAAATTCCAAAAGATTTGAAACCTAATGATTCCTGCTTAGCATAAGTTTAAAAATACTTATGGAGAAAGTTTTAAATTTATCAGGTAAAATCATTTTAGAGAGCAGAGTTTATGTGTGGTTGCTTACTTTCCTGTTGAGAAATTTATTCATTCTTATACTCATCAAAGTAACTCACTAATTGTTAACCTGAGGGTCGTGGGCAAATGCCTTCAGTGCCAAGGTAACAGAGTCCTTAGTCTTTTAATACTTTACCTTTCTTCCTGGAAAAAACATGAAGCAAATTTCTAATTACAGTTTGGAGTGCACGACGCAGACTTTCTGTTTATGCCCACTGCCATCCCTGGTCTTAAGGATACCAGATCCCACTAGCAGAGCATTCATTTGCTCCCCAACCTGAACTGATGCTATATTAAGAGCCAAGGGCTGCAATAATTACAAGGAGTACCTATATTCATTTGTCATTATGTCAAAATAAGCAAAACAACACTGTCAACCATTGCCAAGCAGTGACCTGACCACTTCTGTCTTTGGCTGTTTGGATTTAACCTTTCACACTTGGGATGAAAAGGAGACATGCTTGTTCCGACTAAGGAGACATCTGACAATCAGCTTAGTGGAGTGAAGCATGAGACAGTGAATGTGACAGGAAGTCAGGTATAATTTACCCAAATGGTGTTTTCCAGCCCTTGTTCTCCTTTTATTTACTCCTTCAAAAAAAAGAACCCACTAGGGCAGGATTCTCTTTAGCCAAATTAGGAAAAAAAAAACATAGGAAAATTACTCAGTCTAGTGCTTTCAAGTTAGTATGAGTTTGAGGATATAAAAACATACCCTTTTCCTGCCTGTGAGTACCAATCCTATCCTTGAAGACCACTGAAACCTCCAGTACTGTAGAACAGTGGTTGAGAAAGAATGTCCTGGTGGACAGAAAGACAAGTCTAAAGATGAGCATTTTCCAGTAATATTTGGTAGGAAATTTCTCATAAGAAATCTCTATTGAAATGTGGTACTGCAGTTTTTGAATATAGTGCTACAGCTAAACAAAGGGGAAATTCCATGATGGTGAGATCTTTCTTCTAGGACCTGAGGTAGAAGAGGACATGGGGAAATGGCTGCTTGAGTGTAAGTGCTTTCTGTCATTTAGGGTGGCCACAGTTGAGCAGCTCACTTACTAATAAGTACTTTCTTGAGATTCCTGACCTCAGTACTTTTGTGAATCCATAAAATAATTTGCTGCTCAACATTCATCTAATCTCACACTTACATTAAAATGGGTCCAGAAAAAAAAACTGATAAGAATTAAGTCCCATTTCACTATGAAGGAATTTATCCATCATTAAAAATGCAAATTTAAATTACTTGCCCAAAAATCAATATAAAAAGCAGTCATTATGAAATCTTTGCTCAAACTCTTATTTAGGTATAAGGGGATCTGAAACTTGCCTTGGACAAAACAAGGGACCAATGTCTGTGTCTCTAGAATTTCCAAACAACCTATAAGACTGGAGAGGATTCCAGACTCACTTGGGTTAATGGTTTTGACCTTTACACACAGCAGGTGATAAGAAAGGTTTAGTGTCTAACAATAATAGTTGAAAAATTACACTATGAAAAATAAATAACATCAAAATAGTCACATAAATAATTGAAAGAGCAACTGAGATGTGAACATGAACCAAAGACTTAACTCTGCAGTTTTTAAGACTAGCAAAACCAAGCAGCTAATTCCAAGGAGAATACAAAGGAAAAAAGCAAACTTTACTCACAGTAGAGAACAAAATTGAAAATACAGGAGCTTATATTTTTCAGTAAACCCTGATTCCAGTCACATAATAAGTTCTAGGAAAACAATTTAAGTTTCGAAGCAAAAGCCTTTATGGAAATATTCAGAACCCATAAAATATGGAATTAAATTTTATTTACATGCCATCCAGTAACTAAATACATTTATGTTTTTATGTCATATATGCCTGTTTTTCCTTACTATAGCAGAGTTCAGGCAGATTCAAGGTGCAAATAAGTGGAACTTTTTTCCTTTTACAATTGTGCAAAAAAGAAGAGGCCAGGTCACATTTTATTCTTTTATTTTGATCAAAATGCAAATTGCAAAGAAAATGTCAAGACTTCAGTCCCGAACTCCAGGCATGGAAGGCTCAATGCTAAGGGTGGAAAGACTAGTATTCAGCAGGGGTGGAGAGAAAAGGAAGGGACATACCCATAAGAGGGACAAGGAGAAGTACACGGACACACAAGGAGTACAGGGGCTTGTTCCTAACCACGGAAGGCATTCAGGGATGTGTTCCTGGCAGACAGGTGCAGTGGAAAAGGAGCCCAATCAAGGAGATGTGCCCTGAAGTGAAGACTCCAAGTCTGTTTCCATCAAATGCACCAGAATGTTCCAAGAACAAACCGTGGTGGTGACTCTGACAATCAAGTAATATTCGGAATGTCCCAGAATAATTTCTGTAAAAAACTGCACTGTCTCCTTCCTGGCTCTGTTAACAGCACTACTCACTTCTAAAGGCCAGTGGCCAGGTCTTGTTCACCTGGAGTTCTCTGCTGAGCTGAGCCTCCACATGAAGTGGGGCTCAGGTTTATTTTTTTCTTAGAGCACCAAGCTTTTTTTCTGATGATAAAATTCATATATATATTCAACACAATATATATATTCAATACAAATATATATATACATACATATATATATATATTCAACACAAAAATTTCTGAAGATACAAA